CCAAATTAACTTTTTAACTAATTAACAATGTAATCTTTTTTATTTGTGGAACGTTGTGGGTCCCTTTTTATTGAAAACTGAAATACAACTGAATTGTGGCACATTCAACTATATTGGGAAAAGTAAGTGGTTAAATCTTAAGTGAATATCATAAAGTACCTGAATTGTGGTCTCCAACTAATTAATCTTTCTCTGTTTCAGGTTTCCCTCAAGCTGATGCCGATCTACAACCTTTCTCGGGTAAGTATATTATAAAACTGATTCTTTTAACTTTTTTGCTAATGATTATCCACCTTTTATTTTCAGGAAACGACCTTGGATGCTGTAGTCGCAGTTTGGTAAGTATAAAATAATTTCTATCTTAATCATTCGTCCACACAACACACACATTCGGTGCGCTTACAAAATGTTTCTTAACTAATAAATACAAATCAATTCTCTTGAGTCTGTATGTCAAAATATAAAGGAAAACAAATATATCACACATAAAAGTGGTAATTCTTACATAAATTGTGGCTATTGCCATCGCAAATAACAGGAAATAATATAATCGTGGATGGTTTATCCATCAACGCAATAAACAAATAAATGAACATGTATCAAAATATAATATGCCCTCTCGGGTCTTGTGTCTTTCGCTGAACCACAAATCTCGTTTGTGAAGTAACTCAAAATCAACTAAACTAAGGAAAACTAGAACTGAATAATTTAACATATCACTGTGGAACGCTTTAACGTAAGTAAACAAATATCGCTTGAATAAAACACAAAATAATGAAAATGGTCCACCTTTTAGTGGCCATGTCTAGACTTTGTAACGCGAATCGAGGTTTGAGTCTCTCGCGGATGTCGCCGATGTCTCAGGCTCCGCCTCTATGTCCTGTTGACTCACCAGCCCTCTTTCCGTGGCTGGAACTTCCTCGTTCGCCGCTATCCCCATCATATTGTTACGAGCCTGGCCCAACATCGCGTTCGCGATATCCAACTGAAAATTCGGCTCGTCGGCAGCAGGAATTGTGGCCGGATGCGCGACCGTTGCAGGCGATGGCTGGAAAGCCAACGGTTGCAAGGTTAGGTTAGGTTGGGTTTTCTCGTGTGTAGCGAGGCGTACGGACGTGTCTCTGTGCCGCTCCGTCGTCCCTGCATTCGACCGTGTGGAAATAACGCGCGTAGCGTCTCTAAAATGCGGTCAGTGTGTGCGGAATGTGATTCTGCATCGATTTGCAAAGTCTCATGTGCAGGAGTGTATTCCTCGGGAAGAAATAGACAATTTTCTAGTGCCGTGAAACGTGGCTCGTGGCTCCGGCCCAAGATGGCTGGCTTCGCTGCGCCTGACATGCCACGGTAACGTGGAGGAAAGCTCCCTTCTTTGGAGACCCTTCTAGGTCTCAAGTACAAAGTGCGCCCCAGTGCACTGTTTAGTGATGACCGAATATCGCGATCTGTGATTCTCCGGTTTCGCTTTGGAATAAGAGTCAGATTTATGTGCGGGTCGATCGGCGCGTTAATAGCTGACGTGTACAACGAGAGCGCGGGAATACACCGATAGTGTAAGTGAATTTGGTATATATGTTACCGTTACGTGTGTATAGTGCGAAACGCGGAATTCGGGTTTGAATATTGTTACGCGATTTGGAAGCGATTGACATTTACTCTATATGGAGTCTAAACTGTGCTGGGACCGTATCTTGCGCCCGGGAGTGTACGTGTCTGCGCCTTGTGCGCGGGCTCATGTAAACGCATTTTGACGAGGTGCGCGATCTCGCTTCTTTGTGCTCCGTGGCGGCAGCGCCACGTGCTCGGGGAGTGGCCATCGGGGCATGTGCCTGTGCTGGACAATGGTCAGTGCGGAGTAAATGCACTTGGTGCACATGGTGTGCGGAGTGGCATGCCTGGTGGAGTTGCGCGAGGGTGAACGCGTGGCGGCGCGCGCCGCGCTTGCATGTGCATGACTGCTATGGCCGCGATGGCAGCGATTCGTGCTTCCAGTGGCTTATGGTGACGCTTCGCATGCGACTTTCTGATTGTCACTGCTCGATTGCATGCGTAATTAACTAGGTGCGGTGCTGTGGGCCGGTGGCGGCTGGTCAGCTGTCCCTCTGTTCTTCCGGAGGGTCCTCGCTGCCCTTGCGGAGTGCCTGGCGGGCTCTTGGGACCCGCGGTCTCCCCTTGCTATTGCAGCCAGTGTGGACGTCCTTGGGGTCCAGCGCTCTTTAACTCCTGCCCGCACGCGTTCTGCGCCCGCTGCATCGGCCGGGCATCAGTAATAAGGTAGGAGTCACAAACGCACCGTTGCCAGGGGAATGTAAATCTCGTGCGGTCTTCGGCGGGAAGACTCACGCTCATGTAGTTTTGTCGTAAATGACATATAAAGTGACTCGTGCGGAGATATCTTAGACGGAGTCATACTTTTGTACATTATCTCTGTCATTTACTCTATAAAGTGCATATTGTATTCACGCGGGAGTGGAAGAGACGCCCACGCGCCGGGCGCACGTGTAGAAATCCGATTGAATTTGACGTGGATATTGCTTGTGGAAACTCTCAATAACGGAGTGCAGGAGTAATCGCGAAGTAGGCCCTGGCAATGTGTGACATTTATTAAAAAAACACATATACAGTTGTTCTGTGCACGTCTGTACGACGAGTGCGGCTATTGCACCGCGAGCCTGCATCCGTACATTGACGCATAGAGCTGCGCCCGTCCGCGCTGTTGGAGAAATAACGTGCGAGGGACGAGCGACGAGTGGAGCTTGACAGCTGAGGAACGGAGGTGCCGGAGCGGAGTGATGCAGCACGTGTATGTGCCTGCATAGACTGTGTTTGTCCACTGTGCCGTGCACTCTCGCGAGACTCTTTGGGCGATTCTGTGCCGCGTGCGAGGATCCCGTCGCGGAAGCATAAGCATATGTGCAGTCGGATGTGTTCGCGAGGGAAACGATACGGATTTCTCTTTGGCCAG